AAATTTTTATGGGTCTCACAATTTTTCAACCACACATTTGAAAAACTTTTATCACAGTCTACTAAAAATCTAATTTTAATCATCACCAAACACCCACATAGTGAGATTTCACAGGAATTAGGTTGAAAAGTACTAAAATATAGCATGGAATACTTTTTTCCAATATTGATTTCTTCATACTAGTTAAACCTACAAATACTTCCCACTTATCAACTATTCATTTTTATCTAATATCTATTATAATTTAAAACGATTTAAATCAATTTTGATCCAAAATAGAAATTGTAAATCAATAAAATTGATCATGGAAATTTTGTGCAATTTTTCTTATAATTTATGTATCTATCTTTAACTCAGATGTTTCACGGGTATACTACATATCGAGACAGAAAAATTCAAATTACAACACAGATATCCTAAAATTTCAGACGACAAATTTTACTTGCATAATACAATCAAGTGAAGATTTATTCAGACAAATAAGGAAATAAAAGATTTATTCAGACAAATAAGGAAATAAAAAACCGATACAAATTATTACCTTTTAACCTAAAAGCCCACATACAAATTATTACCTTTTAACCTAAAGCCCACACTTTTCCCCTTATATTATATATTCAGCTCGTTACTGTTGCTCATGTGTGCGTGTGAAATTGGTTTTTATTAGTTGAGAGAAAACAGCGACGTGGAATGGCTCCTTCAATCTCCAATGTGAAGCGACTTCTTAAATATCAATCCAACCGCCAAAGGCTCGAGTTGTTTGATGGCCAGGGAAAACTCGTTCTAATTGTTGCTCAGTTTATAATAAAATTGTGTTCTGAAGATGATAAAATAATTATTTTATTGAACAGTCTTGAAGATTCAGCGGAGCTTGGTTGGTTATACAACCATGGTACTGAAGAATTCAGAAAACTTTCCATCTTGTTCTGGAATTTTATGGCAGAGCTTAAAGCATTCTTCAAAGTCCCAAATTTTAATACTGCAAATCACAATCAACTTGTTGCGGCCTTTATTGACCTTCTCCTTGAAATTTTGGAAGAAATACTATGTCTTCGGTTATACTTCGTACATGGCACAATCAAAGAATCCATTCTAACTGTAAAGAAGGAGCTGAAATTTCTTATCTACTTTCTTGGGGATACGCCAGCTCAGCTCACTGAGCTTGAGACAACCAAGAATGTATTGACAGGTATTGAAGATATGGCCAATGAAGTGGGAAATTTCTTACATTTGTTCTTTCTCAGCAAAGATCCTATTTTTCCATCCGCAATGAATAACTCTCTTTCTGATTTGTTGAGAACTTGGAGCTTGTGAAAGAAAGCGTGGAGAAGCACTGTGTCACAGTTGCGAATATATGGCCAAGCGGTTTGACTCCAAAGACTGCAGTGGGTTCACTCTCTTTTGTTGATTCTATCCTTGATTATATCGAGGATCTAGTGCATTGCAATGATGACAGGATTGTTGATGTGAAGGATCAAATTAGAACTATCCATCAGAACATGATGAATTTGAAGACTGGCATAAAAGAACTTGAGATCGAACTGCGTCGGGAACATGAAGAATTTTCTATGCAACTTATTAACATAGCGTATGAAGTTGAATACATTATCAATTCATTTGCTCCTGTGTCGTATATCACCCTCAGGCTTCTTCAAGTCACTGAGAAAATTAAACCTATGAGAATGCAACTCCAAGAACTGAAGAAGAATGATGCTGGGATGCTAAAGGATGCAGAACATCCAGGGCAACGTATGTCATGGCAAGATCACACTGGAGACGAATATCTAGTTGGCTTGAAGGTTGCGGAAAGGGAAATAATGGCCCAACTCTGTGGAAGACCGAGCGGACTACAAGTTATTTCCATTACTGGCATGCCTGGACTTGGCAAGACAACATTAGCAAACATGTTATATAACAATCTGACTATTAGTTCTCATTTTGAAAAGAGGATCTGGTGTGTTGTCTCTCGAAATTACCAGAGGAGAAATATATTAATTGACATTTTAATGTCAATGGGCACCTATAGTAGAGAACAATTTTTGAATATGGAATATGAAATGTTGGCCGCTATGCTCTATAGTCTTTTGAAGTGGAAGAAATACATCATCATCATGGACGATGTGCGGGATGTAAATGTGTGGGATGATATAAAAAGATGCCTTCCTGATGACCGTAATGGAAGCAGGATATTGTTCACCAGCCGCAACATGGATGTGGCCATGATGGCTTCAGATAATAGCAACTATCCTCTCCGTTTCCTAGTGGAGGATGAAAGTTGGGATTTATTGAAGTGGAAGGTGTTCAACAAAGAACGCTGCCCTCCAGAGTTGGTAGATGTCGGAAAGAAAATTGCAAGAAATTGTGGTGGATTACCAATTACAATTGTTATGATAGCTTTGGTGCTTAAGAATTTGGAGAAAAAAAGACCTTTATGGATGGAAGTTGCTGAAAATATAACTTCGTACATCTCTAAAGAGGCAAATGAGTACATGAGTGTGCTAGAACAGAGTTATAATGATTTACCAATGTACTTGAAACCATGTTTTCTTTACTTTGGAGTATTTGAGAAAGGAAGGGAAATCCCAGTACGGAAGTTGATTATGTTATGGCATGCTGAAAGATTTATAGGGAAAGTAGAAGATAAGAGCTCAGAGGATGTGGCACAGGAATACTTAATGGATCTCATTAATAGAAGCATGTTACTAGTTGCTAAAAGAAAATCAGATGGTCGAATCAAATCTTGTACTATCCATGGTGCAATGCACGACATTTGCTTGAGAATAGCCGAAAAAGATTACTTCGTGAAAGTGATCGCACGGTAAACTCTCTCTCTCTCACCCCCTATTTTTCTCTAGCTTTTTGTTAATGTTTCTATTTTGCCATGCTATCGCTGCTGTTACTGATACGTTGCACTGTGGTTATTCAGGCAATTATCAATATACGAGCACCACCACCGCCTAAGCGTTCGCTCTGACTCAATTCCTTCTTTCTCAAGACCTTTTGGCTTACATATTCACTCTTTGCTGGGCCATTTACGTGATCCATCAGCATTCATCTTTTCCAGCTTGAAACATCTTAAAGTATTGGACTCCTCAGCTACAGATTTGAGTTTGTATAATCTGACAGGAAGTGAAGTGTTGGCTTTCTTAAGGTTCTTGGCAGTTTCATCTATTCCGTCATCAATAGAGACATTGAAGAACCTAGAATTTCTTTTCGTGGATAACAAAGAAGTAGTTGAAATACCAGCTATCCTTTCAAATATGGTGAAGTTGAGACATGTGCATTTCAGTGGTGGTGCACAATTTAGTGAATCTTGGCATCAAGCAACTCATGATGAAAGCTTCCAAATAAGTAACCTACAAAATCTTTCTTCTATTTTCATTTATAATGAAAATGACGAGAAAATCTTGAGATCCTTTCCCCATCTTCGCATATTGAAATGCAAATATACAGTGTTTTGGGATTCATCTAAGAAGCGCTATCGCTCTCCTGCCTTGAACTACCTTACTCAGCTTGAATTCCTTGATATATCATTCCAACCATGTTACGAGTCAGATGACATTAGTCCCGAATTGATCAGTTTACCTGTAAATCTTAGGAAGCTAACTCTTCGTTACTTTGATTTATCTTGGAAGCATATGAAGATAATTGGTGAGTTACCTGACCTTGAGGTTCTCAAGTTACGAGATGTTACAATTGAGGGAAAACAGTGGGATACAAATATAGGTGAATTCGTACAACTCAAATACTTGGAACTGGATGCGGTACAGATTGAACATTGGAATGCCGATTATGCTCATTTCCCCAAACTCGAAAGACTAGTGTTGCGAAGATGCCAGCATTTTCCGATCCCTTCTGATTTTGGGTACATTCTAACCCTACAGAAGATTGAGGTATATGGCTGCGCAAAATCCATTGAAAACTCTGCTAGGCAAATGAAGGAAGAACTAGAAGGCTTTGGAAATGATGAGTTCAAAGTCATTATCTCCAGCAATGATGAATCTCCATCTTCCAACTCTTACGGTAAGGGTGGTAAGAACATAAGAAAATATGTGAAGTACTTTAAAAATTGAATAAAATACTTGATTGATGACCTAGGCCATAAGTACCTAGTACACGTTTATTCCTATTTATAATAAAATAAGCTCAACAACTCTCTATAACTAGTGTATATCCAAAAAATAGATAACAACTATCAAATAACAAATTAACAACTTTGTATTTATCCTTTGATTTGAATTTGACAATCTTATCATTCGAAAATTTTCTAGTCTCCTCATTGCTCCTTTGATCCTCATCATTTCTATTGCCAAGTTTTATGACGTTTCTAACATCCTCCTTCAAATTGTGCTCTTGAAGGCACAGTTTTGTTTGAAAATTTTAGAAATGATTTTTATCTTCATTTTTGGTAGGTGTGTTTCTGAATGATATGCAATGAACCTTTGGTAATTTTTGGGTATTTCTTCTACCATTATGGACTCTTAAAAGCACATATACTGAATTCTATGTTAAAATATCTATTTTTCCTAAATTGACCTATAAACATCTTTCTCTAGAAATGAATCATGATTCATTAATTTTGCTTTAGGGTTGTTTTATTACCTGCATTGAAGGTAGACATATTTATATTGGAAAAACTCTTCCCTAAGACTTATTTATACAAAAACTGAATGATTTGCTATATTTGATATGAATTCCCTAAGACTCTTCCCATTTGTTTCGCTTGTGTTCTATAGCTGTAGCATTACTGCGGATGGATATTAGTACTTTGTATTTATGAATTTATAAGGCTTATGTTTGTGCTGAAATTCCTTTACATGTAGCAGTAGAGGATCTCCTCGTTCTGTATATCCTCTTTGCTCCAGGACACTATTCATTTTTAGATATGTGTTTTGTCAATAAACTTAATGCATGCTTGAAGATATTAACTCAAATACAGGTTTAACTGTGCTATTATATTTTTTAGTTACATTTCACGTTGTATATCTTCTATTGCAGCTGGTTCTAATGTGGCGGCTGTTTAATTACAGCATGTAACAAAAGTAGCTCCGTTAGAATTAATCATTTTGTCCTGTTTATCTGATCTTGTGTGTACTCCGTTTTCTATCTATGCACTTATTTGTCATCCATTTTTCAAAACTCTTTTTTTCTCAAACTTATTTTCAACCACACATTCATGCAATAAATGGTTTGTCAGTGACCACCCTGTCAGTGCCATATACTTATGTCGAGGCTGGCTCTTTATCCCAGTTAACTGAACCTTCAGAAGTGACGGAGCAGATCGAGCAACTGGGAACCTAGTCAGAAGAGGCTCCAAGCCAAGCAATGCAACCTGCATCTAGCAAGTCAATGAGATTTCCTCTTCGGCCTGGACAGGGTCGCAGTGGCACCCGGTGTATTGTGAAAGCCAACCACCTTTTTGCTGAGCTGCCTGATAAGGATTTGCATCAGTATGATGTGAGTTATTTCTGCTCGTGGCCTTGCTTGATTTTTGTCAATTTTTTTGTAAATATTTCACTTCTTACAATTTTAGTTGTGGTAAAACACTAATTCCTGCTTTGTGAGTAATAGGTATCTATTACACCTGAGGTCACATCCCGTGTTGTCAACCGTGCTGTAATGGAGCACTTAGTAAAGCTATATAAGGAATCACATCTTGGACGGAGACTTCCAGCCTATGATGGAAGAAAGAGTCTTTACACTGCTGGGCCTCTCCCTTTTGTCTCAAAGGAATTCATAATCATGCTTATTGATGAAGAAGATGGTCCAGGCGGTGCCAGGTCCTTAATATATCATAGTTATTTTGCCTGTTCAGATCCTTCAATGAGTGTAAGGCAATGAATTTTTATTTTTATGTTGGATGCAGACGGGAGAGGGAGTTCAAGGTCGTAATAGAGTTTGCTGCACGTGCTGATCTGCATCATCTAGGGATGTTTTTACAAGGAAGGCGAGCTGATGCGCCCCAAGAGGCTCTTCAGGTTTTGGACATTGTTCTGCGGGAATTGCCAACCAGCCGGTGCTTGTTACTGCCCATTTTATTTTTCATCAATATTATCCTTTTATTTTTTATTTTTTACTCGTGTACTAATTTTTCTATTGCTTTTAGGTATTGTCCTGTTGCTTATTCACCTGATTCGGGGAGAAGGCAGGCTCTTGGTGAAGGGCTGGAAAGTTGGCGTGGTTTTTACCAAAGTATTCGCCCCACTCAGATGGGATTGTCACTGAATATTGGTAAGCAAGTCTCTCGTTGGTTCATATCCACTTATTGTGTAACTTTTATTAGTTAAATTTTGTTGTTTTGCTAATGAGAGAACTATTTACTAATTTTGTACACTGATTTGTCTTACCCACTTTATTGACTATAATCCTCCTTTTTTTTTGTTTCCAGATATATCATCGACCGCTTTCATCGAGCCACTCCCTGTGATTGACTTTGTCACACAGCTTCTGGATAGGGATGTTTCATCCAGACCATTGTCTGATGCTGATCATGTGAAGGTTAGATATTGTACTCTCTCTCTATAATGAAGAGAGTTTGGCTGGAATTATTCTTTAAATATTTTTTTTTTCTAAATTTAGCTTGCTCACAGTACATTTCTGCTAAAGAATTTCTGGCATTTAGCTTATATAGTTTATGTATTGTCAAGAGGGATACATCTTATCTCTATCTAGTTTTATTAATGTTACTTTGATTACAGATCAAGAAAGTACTTAGGGGAGTAAAGGTTGAGGTTACACATCGAGGAAACATGCGCAGGAAATACCGCATCTCTGGTTTGACGTCACAGGCTACTTAAGAACTAACGTAAGGATCACTAATTGTTTGTCAATTAAGTTATATTTTAGCTTCAATAAAGACCTCATAATCTCGATGCTTAGGTTACCCTCTCTTTAGATGGTCTGTAGTTTGGCCAGTTGATTTGGCCTTGCAAAGTTCAAGCTGTCGCTAGGCGTTCTCTTATGACACCAAAGGCTCATTACATGGGACCATTGTTTGGATTGAATGTATTCTGATCATGATTTAGGTCTATATGCAGTTGTCTCATATATTCTCTGGTCTTGTTAGATTTCCTGTTGATGAAAGGGCCCGATGAAATCTGTGGCTGAATATTTTCAAGAGACCTATGGGCTTGTCATTCAACATACTCAATGGCCTTGTCTGCAAGTTGGAAATCAGCAGAGGCCAAATTATTTGCCAATGGAGGTCAGTCTACTTGATTTTCTGTAACTTATTAGCTAGCTTTGTAGTTCAACTTGGATATGGTCTGTGGGAGTTGGATTCATGCATTGATTTGAGTGGTGGACATTTGGCTTGTCAAATTTTGGGACCCTGCTCAAAATTCTTTATTTTAGTAATGGATAAGGGAATAGATCATTCATAAACATAGTGAGATAATATTAGGATGTTCTAAAGGTGTTGATAGAATAGAAGAGTCATAGTTATGCATTTTTCCAAGAAAATATATGATAACTGAACGATGAAATTGGAGAAGAATATTGTTATTTTTTTGTTGGTAATTATGGTTGTGCCTGGTGTTTGGCACATACTTTTGTTAGTGTTAGAGAGTAATGTGTGTTTCTGAATGGCCAAACACGTATCTTATGTCATGGTTATCACCCGACATGGGTATGGCATGGTACCGAAGTGTTGGAGTAGCACAATTAGCTAAATTTCTTAGATTAGGGTCCTAACAGATTGTTTTATAATCCAGGTCTGCAAGATCGTAGAAGGCCAGAGGTACTCCAAGAGATTGAATGAGAGGCAGATTACTGCTCTCCTAAAGGTTACATGTCAGCGTCCCTATGAAAGGGAGTATGATATTCTTCAGGTTAGTCTTGTTTATAAAAAAAAAATTATATTTTTCTGCGATTGCTTTGTTCTTATTTACAGGATATTTACTTCGAAGCTTGTTATTGATACCATCACTTAGTTAGGTTTTGTGTGGAGGTATGGAATGATGGGGAAAGAACATGGTACTGTACGTATTCCCATGTTTTTGTTTTAGTTGATGCTGCCTTCATATCTCATTTGTTATGGTAAATGTCTCGTATGATACCTTGTACAGATGTATAGCCATTTGGCTTTGTCTATATCATGTAGTTCATGTTTGGACCTAAGGTAGTTATGTACTTGTCTGGTTCTTTTGCTTTGTTGGGCTTTGAGCCAAGTAACTTATAGTAGCTAACAAATGATCTTCACCAGTTTAACCTTTAAGACTTCAACATTCCTGCAACTAATCGACATATTTACTTGTCAGACTGTACATCATAATGCGTATGCTGAGGACCCTTATGACGAAGAATTTGGAATTAAAATAACTGAGAAACTGACTCAAGTTGAAGCTCGTATTTTGCCTGCTCCTCGGGTAATTGGAAACTCTTAATCTTTGCTCCTGCTGAATTGCTATTGTCTTGGTCTGAATTCTTTTATATAATGTGATGTTTCAGCTCAAATATCATGACTCTAGTTGGGAGAAGGAGTGTCTACCCCAAGTTGGACAGTGGAATATGATGAACAAGGTAACTGCCGTGTTAAAATGATTTTTCCTTTACTGGTAATTTTGTCAAACATGACGCGTGAAATAATTTTATTTTTAAAGGGAAAACATCCGTTGAATGCAAATATGTGAATCAGGCAGGAAGATTTGTTGCTCGTGTTAATTTTTTGTTAATTTGAGTAGTACTACTTGCTGATCATCTTCACTTTCACATGGTGCTGATTTCTTTATTCTTTTGTGGACCTTGCTTGGCGTGCATGATGGCTTTAATATTGCAACATGTCATGTCTTTCCTAACAATTGGAAGCAAATATTGTAATTTATTTACATGTTAGACAGATTTTATGGACGGTACATCCATTGTTATTTGATTGGAGTTCGTATTTTTCTGCTGCATCAAGAACCTTAACATTAACCTTCAGACGCTGTTAGATTTTTTTCTGGAAATTTGATATTTGGTTGGTGTCATGCAGAGGATGGTTAATGGTGCCACGATAAAAAGCTGGATCTGCATTAACTTTGCTCGAAATGTACAAGACAGCATGGCACACAGTTTTTGCCGTGAGCTTGCTCAAATGTGTATGACTTCTGGCATGGTAATGCCATCTAAATTCTATTGTGTCTTGCAGTATTTTACTCCATGGTTTTATTTCTCTGATTTTACGTTTTTCTTTACAGGCTGTCAATCCGGAGCCTCTCTTGCCAGTTGTGAGTGGCCACCCTGATCAGGTGGAAAGAGTCTTAAAATCTAGGATCCATGATGTCATGACAAAACTGCAGCCCGGTGGAAAAGACCTTGACTTGTTAATTGTTATTTTAACTGACAATAATGGTTCTCTTTATGGTACGAGAGGATGAATATTTGAACATAACACGCCTTTCCTTTAAAAATTGCGAATGTGGATTAGGTTTTCTTTTACTGATATTTACATTTTTTGTTTGCGTAGGTGATCTGAAATGGATATGCGAGACGGATCTCAGCATCGTCTCCCAGTGCTGTTTGCAGAGGCATGTTTACAAGATGAACAAACAGTATCTTGCCAATGTGGCACTGAAGATTAATGTAAAGGCTGGAGGTAGAAATACAGTGCTGGTCGATGCCATCTCTATGCGCATACCCCTCGTCAGTGATCGGCCTACTATCATTTTTGGCGGTGATGTTACCCATCCTCACCCTGGCGAGGACTCTAGCCCATCCATTGCTGCTGTAGGTTGCTTTATTTGACAGCTGTTTCTATCCATTTCTTTTTCTCTGTTGAGATGTCTTATGATTACTTTCATTACTTTTCAGGTTGTTGCTTCCCAAGATTGGCCAGAAGTTACAAAATATGCTGGTTTAGTCTGTGCTCAAGCCCATAGGCAAGAGCTGATTCAAGATTTGTATAAAACCTGGCAAGATCCGGTTAGAGGGACTATGACTGGTGGCATGATCAAGTATGCAAACACCTGAAAAGAGAAGTTCCTCGATTCTTTTTACAATATATTTAGGGACTGCTTTATGATCATTGGGAAATTGTAATCTAACCTTTTTTTGGCCTTAATCTTTGTTGCTTCTACTATTCAGAGAACTACTTATTTCTTTCCGTAGAGTGACTGGACAGAAACCACAGCGAATTATTTTCTACAGGTATTGTCAAATAACATTTCTGTTATTCTGTCTTGTAAAGTACCCCTTCTACTGTCTCCTCCTCTCTTTTCTTCCTCTCACTATGTCTTCTCTATTTCCAGGGATGGTGTCAGCGAAGGACAGTTTTATCAAGTGTTGCTTTATGAACTTGATGCGATCCGTAAGGTAAATTGCCTTGCAGATTTCTTGTATTGTCATTTAGGTGCCTAAGAGAATCAATTTATGATTTTAAGGGTTATATGTTTGAAAGCTAATTCTGATATTTTTATCTGCTACTTTTGTTGTACCCGATTCAGGCATGTGAATCTTTGGAACCATACTATCAGCCTCTTGTTACCTTTGTTGTGGTTCAGAAATGTCACCATACTAGGTTGTTTGCCAATAACCATAACGATAGGCATGCAGTTGACCGAAGTGGAAATATACTCCCGGGTACACATTTTAACCTGATTCCTGTTTGTTTTAATTTTTCATAATTGATTGACTATTAAAATGCCATTACCTTTTCGTATTTCTATGAATTTTTACAGGCACTGTCGTAGATTCAAGAATCTGCCACCCTACCGAGTTTGACTTCTACCTCTGCAGTCATGCTGGGATACAGGTAACTCCATAACTTTACTAAATTTCTATTTCACATTATGCTTAATGAACTGCTGCTTATTAGGATCCAATCTGACTACAGGGTACTAGCCGGCCAGCTCATTATCATGTTTTGTGGGACGAAAACAAATTCACCGCTGATGCTCTTCAGACTCTTACAAATAACCTTTGCTACACGTAAGTGCTTGTCTCCTGCATTCTTATGAACTCTTGGTATATTGGACTTGACAGTATGATGCACAAATTTCTAGCTTCTTACTTTCAATACACCCTACCAAATAAGCATTAAGGGATGATTGCTAATTGGTTTCATATTTAACTTTTGTAGATATGCAAGGTGCACACGCTCCGTTTCCATTGGTAGGTTTCTTTTAATTGGCTTTTTTTTGTTTACAGCTTACACTGTATATTACTGTTGATCATATTATTCTCATACTTTTTGACAGTGCCTCCTGCGTATTATGCCCATTTGGCCGCTTTTTGTGCTCGCTTCTACATGGAGCCGGAAACATCTGACAGCGGGTCGATGACAAGTGGAGCTGCTGGTCGAGGTGCGGGTCCAGGTCCAAGGAGTACAAGAATTCCTGGAGCCAATGCTGCCGTTAGACCACTACCTCAGCTCAGGGATAATGTGAAGAGGGTTATGTTCTATTGTTAAATGTGTTGCCAAGACCATTGGATGATGCTATTGAGTTCGTCGAATTGGATTATTTACCAACTGAAACTCTGAATCAAGATTTGTGTCTTTTGTCAAATTTGGTTGTGCAGCAATGCCTTTATGATTTGTAAGAACGTCTCTTTTGTAAGGCTTTTGTTGTTTTAAGTTAATATTAGACGTTTTCCTGGTTAATTTTAAGTCTAACTGAGCTTGTGAACATCGTTTTCTACTAAAACCTTCCAGGTGAATTTTGTCGTGTTTTGGGCCTTAGGGTCTTTCGATGATCGAAAGACGAGTGAAAAACACACGACTATTAGCCGTAGTTGAGTTGCACCTGTCTTAAGCAGCCAATTCTTCGATAGGATCTGAGTTAATGTTATCTAAATGTTAAACGTTGCATCATGTTGCACCTGCAATTCACTATCTTGCAATTGCCATTTTGCAACTTTTATCGAAGATCATTCTGCCATCAAGAAAGTGTAAACGAGTTCTTAGAGCAATTTTGCAACAGTGTTAACTGTTGACGTTTGTAAGGATTTGAACTTAAGATTGATGCAGGGGAAGTATCCTACTCAAATGCGGGCCAAACATAGGCTTGAGGAATCCATTACTTGCATAAAATTGCAAGCATGTGTTCAAGAGATATGGTATTGGCCTTCCCTCAATTGACTCCTCGGTCTATTTGCAATTTCATCCATCACCAAATTAACTACAATAACAAACTGACATATTCTAATTTGCTCCTTTTTGAACATTGGAGTTGGAGACCAACTTTCTATCTGACCACTAGTGCAATTTTCACAATCCAAATACAATTGTTACTACCAAAATTTGAAGCAGTTAAAATGAAGAAAAATCAAGAAGAAACAATTTTCTACTGGATTAGTTATCTAAACTTTAAAATTGATAGCTAATTCAGTGAAGTAAATGCAGAGGAAACCAAAAGTGAATTTGCAAAAACAATTTGTGACTTCCATTCTTGCATTTGTATTTATAAGATAGTGTCATACATGTTGATTGAACAACCAATGTACACTTATTTTTAACATTAACCAACTAACGTGCACCCACGCTAGTACTATACAAAAGTGTAGAGGCAGTCACCTGTCACCCAGTTTCTTTTAAAAGAAGCCTATACAACAAAACGATTTGAAATTAATTAATTTTCCATACACTGTTAACATGGTTACAGACATAATGCAACAACAATTGATTTACAAGATTGAATTTAAGGATGAATTCCGATTTACATTATATATGTCTCGAGTGACAAATATTTATATATATATATATAAAATAGGTAGCATCGAACAGAGATGTAGCACGTGATGCATTCTCCCGCTAAATAATATGCGGCATCGAACAGATCTACATTATCATTGAGAAGCATTATTCATCGGTATCTTTGCGCTGCAATAGCAAGACAAATGAAAATTATATGATTCAATTGAGAAATGAAAACGTTGCGCATCAATAGTTACAAAATTCGAGTAAAATTTGAAATCTCCCAGTAAATTAAATCATTACTCCAAAAACATGCACGTATTTTCGAAATTGCAAAATTTTCTTTTAGATTCATCAACATCCTGATAAGGCCATAGGCAATCTTGAATGTTAAATTCCAACAAACTGTTTCACAAAACGTCCCGCATGAATTTTTAATGTTAAATTCAGTCGTATTGGGATGTAATTTCTTGTATTAACAGGATAGAAAATTACAGAGTATATACATGATGAAAGGAAAGGAAAGAATGGAGAAATTGCACTTTAGTCCCTAACAATTAACAAAGAGTACAAGTTGGTAACAAAGATTAATATATATTTCAACTCTCCCCCTCAAGTTGGTGCATAGATATCTCGCATGCCCAACTTGGATGTCATTGTATAGAATGGACCACTAGCAACTCCATGTGTCATTATATCAACCAGTTGTTACGTCCTCTTGATGTATGGAACCTCTATATTTTTGGAGTCGAGATTATCTTTGATGTAGTTCCTATCAAGTTCAATATGTTTTGTTCTACCATGTTGCACAGGGTTGTTTGCAATTTTAATAGCAGCAGTGTTGTCACAGAAAAGTAACATGGGCTTGTCCGGACCAAACCCAAGTTCACTAAGAAGAAGTTTTAACGATGTAAGCTTGATAGTTGCATAATGTAATGCTCGATATTCCACCTCAGCAATGGATAATGAGACTACATTCTGTTTCTTACTCCTCCAAGTCACTAGATTGCCCCCAACAAACGATACATATCCTGATGTGAATTTTCTATCCAGTCTCGATCCAGCAAAGTCAGAATTTGTGTAACCCACAATATCTAAATGCCCCCCCTTTTGAGTACAAAATGCCTTTGCCTGGAGAGGATTTCAGATATGCCAATATCCGATTAATTGCACTCATATGTTGCTCACAGGGATTATGCATGAATTGACTCACAACGCTAACTGCATATGACAAATCAGGTCTCATGTGAGTTAGATAAATCAACTTCCCCACCAATCTCTGGTATCTCTATTTGTTTGTGGGAATCTGATTAGGATAAATAGATAGACCATGATTTACCTCAATGGGTGTGTCAACAGGGGTACAAGCCGACATACTAGTTTCTGCTAGAAGGTCGAGGACGTACTTGCGTTGAGATAAGACAAATCCTTGCTGAGACCGTGATACCTCGATGCCCAAGAAATACTTCAAGTGCAGGCATCTATCATCTTAGGGAAGAATACAACCTTAGAGTTAAGGTAGAAACCCTCACTAGAGAACTAGAAGCCCATGTACTAAGGAATCAAAAACCACTCGATCTGTTTCCCGTGCTGAGACCTTAGAGCCTTGTTTTGTATGTGGAGAAAGTAACCACCCTCCGCAAGAGTATGCCACTTATGCTGAGATAAGGGGGCTTTATGAGGAACACCGTAATACTTTAGACATATATCAAAAGCCCTACATCCCCTACTCCGAGGCCTATAACCCAGGGTGGCGGAATCACCCTAATTTTAGTTGAAAATCTGAAAACCAACAATCTACCCAACAAAATCGAGCTTACAATGCACCTCCACATCAAATCACGACTCTAGGAATTCCTTAGAAGACACCTTACATGCATTTATCGAGGCACAAGGTAAAACGAACCACAAGTTTGAGACTATGATTGACCAGATAGTTGAGGAAAACAAGGAGATAAAGAGTCATATGTCAAAATTAACCAATGCCTTGGCTGTGGGGGACGTGGGAAATTTCAACTCAAGCTCAACCAAATCCTAAGGGACAGCACATGGCACAAACCTAAGGCTTAAAAGAAGATAATCTTAAGGAAGTAAATGTCATCACCACTCGATTTGGGAAGGTTATAGAACCAACCCCAAAACCTAGGGAAAATGAAAATGAGTCTAGTGAGTCAAATGAGAATAACCCTAGTGAGGAGGTAGTAAAGAATCCAGTCAGAGTGCCCTTCCTTCAAGTTCTTAAGCCCCCATTTGAAACCCATTTTTTTTTTCTCATTCTCATTTTCATTTTTTTTTCTCTTTCTTCATTTCAACCACACATTCTATCAATAAAATAATACTACAAATAAATCCAAAAATTCTCATTACTTTTCAAACACACATTCTTCCATCAATCACCATTCCAAAATTTATTTATTTTTCAAAATGGGTGTCAATTAGGGGCTAAGTCTACCTCAAAATCTGCTAGCTACCATAGTGAGATCTTAGAGCACCTAAAGCAAGTAAAAATTAATCTACCGCTCTTGCATGTGATTTCACAAGTTCCTACATTTGCTAAAGTCCTTAAAGACTTGTGCATTGTGAAAAGGAAACACCATGTCAATAAAACTGTTTTCTTGACTGAACACGTAAGTGCTGTGATTGAGCAAAGGACTCCACCAAAGTATAAAGATCCTAGTTGTCCTACTGTTTCGTGCATCATCGGGAACCATGAGATTGGACAAGCCCTTCTTGATCTAGGAGCCAGTGTCAACATCATGCCTTATGCAATTTACCTGTCATTAGGTTTAGGTGAGACGCGACCTACATCTGTAAGTCTACAATTGGCTGATTGGTCCATTATAAGACCAAGAGGTGTAGTTGAAGATGTCTTAGTACAAATCGATAAATTTTAGTACCCTATTGATTTCTTGATTTTAGACTTAAAAGTGGATGTAAATGTTAATTCTACGATTTCCATCATTCTGGTAGACCATTTTTTGCCACGGCTAATGCTCTTTTAAATTGTAGGAATGGTCTAATGAATCTATCATTTGAGAATATGACCTTAGAAGTTAACATCTTTCACGTCACTAAGCAGATTGAGGAAGATGCGTGTCATCAAACATACATGATTGATGCACTCATTCAGGGGGTAGCTGATGATATGTTTCTTGTACTACCGCAAGAACTAGAACTAGTTGAATTGGATGCAGCCGTCGATGAACATGCCTCCACTCCAGATTTTGAATTTTTCCCTAGTGACCCCGCATATGTACGAGATGGAGGTGGAGGATCCATACCAATGGTTATGTCCAATGAGTTCGGTGCACTACAAGGAAACTTGGGATCGCCCTGACTAGATGCGGGCTAAAAATGGGAACATTGGGTTGAGCCAATGACAATAAACAAAGGCGCTGCTTGGGAGGCAACCCAATGGAAGTTCTTTCCTTTCTTTCTTTTAATTTTTTTTGCATTTGCTCTATGGTTATTTTCATTCCACATTTTTAGTTGTAGTTTTATTTTCTTTCATTTCTTACATTACCATTTCAATTGAATACTTTCAGGTTTCTATTCTTTTTTCGACTGTTGTGAGTTTGTTGCAATACTCAGGTGATATCTTTCATTCTCTTTCATTGGAACTATTGTTTTTACATTGCGGATAACGTTTCAATTAAGTTTGGGGGTGGAGTATGAGTATTTCATTCATCATTTTAACTACAATCATTCATCATTTTAACTGTAATTTTTTTGAATGTTTGTGTCTAATGTTTGTGTATTTAAAAAAAAAAATTCTA